AATAGAATCGAGGCTCGGCGCCATGTTCCAAGCCTCGGAGGAGACAGAGATAACGCGCACGTCCGCGTGGCGCTCCTTCGCCGTCTTTTCCATGGTTGGAAGGAGGAGTTTGGTCAACAAAAAATGGCCCACGTGGTTGGTGCCCATTTGAACATCTTGCCCGGCAGCGGTCTTGGCTGCTGGGACAGCCATGATACCGGCGTTCAGAACGAGAATGTCCAGTCGGTCGCTGTGACTGACGACTTGGTCGGCGGCCTGTTTGATAGAGGGCAATGAGGTGAGGTCAAGGGGGAGGTACTCGATATCGACATCTCGTGAGGTCTGCGCCTTGATTGATTCGACAGCGTCACGTCCTTTGGATTCGGTCCTTGATGCAAGGAAGATCTTCTGAGGGCTGTGCTTGGCGAGCTGCAGGACTGTTTCCTTGCCAATACCATTGTTACCGCCAGTCACGAGGATGACTTTGCCCGCAAGGCTTTGGATGCTTGTCGCAGGGACGAATGGTGAGCTGGTGCCAAATGGCCACATGCTAGCGAATCCGGGATGTAAGACTTCAATTGCAAGCAAGGGATGAAGGGCGTATGGCCGGAGGAGACCTGTGGCGAGCGTGAGAAGTTCTCGAAGGTGTGACAAATTTGGGCGTGCTAGCTCAATGTCTTCTTCGTCTTTAGACGTGTTCGATGGTGAGGGAGAATGGTTCTGTGCTGCAGCATTGCTTCTCGCATGCTTTTGTAGCTCTTCAGTCTCGGTGTTGTTGGAAGCCCCTGATGTCGGTGGCGACATTAGCGCGACAAAGTTACGCCGACTGCCTCGATAATGTTGACATTTTGGAAGCAGCTCCTTTGGATCTAGACGGCGGCAGTTACGTATAGCATGACTGGATGGGGAATGTTGACTGTGTGCGTTGTGGTTCGTCGTGAGCAGCCCAGAGCTTGGAGAAAAGTCGCATACGGGCGTAAAGGTGCGACGGTCAGCCAATCATGAGGCACAGAGTCCGAAATTTCGGAGCAACACATCCAGCTTCCGCCTCTCCAGGCTCTGCTAGCTAGTAGGAATCAACAGGAATATAGTAATCCTCACCAATGCCTACTATTGAGATTCTTTCATGAAGGAGCAAATGCAGCGTCGGCTGTCGAACAAGTTCCGGGCCCTACGAGTACAAAGGCAGGCGCCCGAGTGCCCTGTTCCAGCAGCCTAGGGCGTGTGGTTCCAGCCCTGTGCCTATGCTTTGCAGGACCCAAAGACTATGATTAGTATGCGATAGGAAACCACCCATGCCTGTTGTCCCGGGATACCGCGACAACCAGACCATCAGTTGAAAAGAAATCGTTGGTGAAGATTTTGGATTGAGGGCAAAAGACGAGCATACATCCTGCTGCACAATTACAACCTCACGGTGAGGCAGGTGAGGCAGGTGAGGCAGCATCCTCGGCGACATCTCTCCCGCGAACCCTCTGTTGCCGCCATTGGGGGCAAGATGAGGTTGACGAGTTCTACTACAACAGCCATGTCAGTGAGCAGCAAGCCGAAACATTCTCTGCCCAATGCAAAAGGCTTTACAGGCCCTCAAAAGTCCCTAGGCGCCCCCCGGCATAGTGCAAACCTCCCACGGCCATAACCACCCAGAAAGAGGATCGGTCGAGGACGATAAGAATGTGCTCTATGCTGTCCTCGAGTGTGGTAGCCACCATACATTGACGCGGCTCAGCGAATGGATCGACCACAGCCAGCTCAAGATACGAAGAAAGAGACATTTGGAGATTGCCACGGCGTCCGGCCGGTCAAGAGGCACCAGAGGGGATGAGCAAGTTTAAGTATGTATTGGGTACTCGGTACAGCAGACGAAACAGCGGTGGATGCCGAACAAAGCGAGAAAGGAACCAAAAAAAGGGCAAGGTCAACGATGGTGGAGCTTGTCAGATCATGGACCATCAGTTGCATTGGCGAATCACAACGGACGCCCACGTCGAAAACTTGCTCACTTGGCGAACACATTGAATGTTCTTCTATCTACCGCAGGTCCAACCCTCTCGACATACTCTACTATCCTCTCTATCCCAAACCTCCCTTTAGCATCTACATCACTTTCCCATCGCCCTTTGCGACAGCGTCTCTGCCAAAGCGAAATTAGGTCGACGCTCCATCCGGCTTTGCACCGACGAGTTCTCCAGTGACTATAACACTGATATCACTCGGTCCTGTGCCCTCGGCTTTGGAAAGAGTGGTTCGACCCGACCTCTCTTCACCATGGACATGGGCTCATCATCCGACTCGATGTCGTCAATGTCCTCTATGTCCATGCCCATGGTATTCACCACCTCCCACCACACCCCTCTTTATGGAAATGGATGGACGCCCGCCACCGGGGGCGGCTATGCCGGCACCTGCATATTCCTCGTCTTCCTAGCCATCGGCCTCCGGCTGGTCTTCGCGGTCAAGGCTGTGTGCGAACAGAGATGGGCAATCGCCGCACGAAGACGACGATTCGTGCTGGTCCAAGGGAGGACCACCGAGGCTGGGCGGATCGATCAGGATCCCGATGCAAAGACCGGTGCTCTCATCACGGTCAACGGCGTCGAGGAGAACGTCAAGGTCGTCCAGGCCAGAGACGCCTTCGCTCCCTTCCGGCTGTCGATCGACGTCCCTCGAGCCATATTGACCACCATCATTGCGGCCATTGCATACCTGCTGTAAGTCACAAACTGATGAGCAACTCTATCGAGGGTGCTTCCATGCTCACGATCGATTAGGATGTTGGCTGTTATGACGATGAATGTGGGCTACTTCCTCTCCGTGCTTCTGGGGGTATTCCTGGGCGAGTTGGCCGTGGGCAGATATGCTCGGAACGACGAAAACTTTCACTGAGACTTGCTTCTGCTTCTCCTTGTCTTTCTCCTCAATTTTTGGGTTTTGGCGAGTACAGGAGCCGGAGCCAAGAGCAGTATCTAGAATCGAAGAGCATGGTCCCAAGCGAGTTTGTTGTAGGTATGACGCATTTATACAGAGCAATTTTTCCAGGTCCCTTCAAAATGAAATGCCGTGATGACATGTAGTTGTGGGCTTTCGTCCTGAAGCCTTGACATGTACCTTTCCCCCTGGGCACCTTTCTCATGTCCATCTCGACGTCCTGGACTGACCCGTAACCTCTTCCGGCATTCATCCCTCATCGGCCAAGCCCTGGCTTGGGACGGTGTCACTCGGTGAGCAGACCATTCGAGAGAGTGGCCCGGGCACATTCACGGCAAGTTGGTATTGTCGTTTGGTAGTGAAGGCGCAGATATCACCTGTTGGTAGGATCTCTCCATTTTGGAGCGATGTCTGCTCAACGGTCTAGATCCAGGGAGTACATTGTAGAATGTCAAGCTCTCCCAGCAACACGCTGTAAACCTCATCAAAACCTTGGGGCTTCCCATGGTCTCGGCATTCTCTCTACTGTAGGTGGCATGCAGGGAGTAACGACGTGGTTTCTATCTCTGCCCTGTCGGTGCGATGCGAACCTCACGGCCACGTCTCGACTTTGTTCCATTCCCCTATTGAGTCACTTGGCTGGGGCCCGCCAGGACCACCTACCTCGCGGGCCAGCGTCCAGATCTGCCTCGTGCACTTGGTGGGATCCGTCAAGTCGACCGCCTCGACCTGCTCCGGCGTGATGATGGCGACGCGGAAGTTCTTCCTCGCCAGAGTCTCCTCCGACAGATGTCCTGCTTTCTGGCCCAGCGCCTCTCCCGCCCGTTCGTCCCTCCCTTCTGACAGCGGCCGGCCGGGCGGGGGGTTCTTGAACGAACCCCTCATGACGGGCGACAGGTTTTCAAAGTAATTCTCCACCTCCCTTCTCCAGGACCAGGACCGGTCGTGGTGACTCTTTCCCGCGCGGTCCGATGATCCCTCCCTCACGCGCATGTATCGTCCTACCTCCGCTTTGACCGACACGGTACCGGAATTCTGTGCCTCTGGGGTGCCTTCTTCCACATCGTCAGCCGCAACGAGCCAGCATTTTCCCCGTATTCGCCATTGCGTCCTGGTGTCTTTGATCCAGTAGACCGCTTCGACGGGTCCGCCCCCGCCAGACCCCGAGCGCGACTGCGACAGATCCCCTTTCCCTCTCCCCGTGGCAAAGAGCTCGTAGGTCTTGCGCATCCGCGCATCAGTGGTGAATGTGGGACAGTCACTCTCAAATATCGGCGGGTTCTTGGGCAGCTGATTGTACTCGTTGTCCGGCAGTGTGGCCCAGAAGCCGCGGAAGATGCACGTCCGCGCCCTGGGAAACCCCGAGCCCGTGACGGTGGCAAGAGTAAATTCGAAGCCAGCGCCGCCGGCTCGTTCGAGGTGTTCTTCAAAGGTTCGCTTCCAGGGCGCGACGGTCGCAGGCGTGGGGTGCGACATTGCGGAAGCAATGTGGGCGAGGCGCTGAACGGTTTGAGGGGCCAGTTTCGATTGAAGCGGCAGATCGGATGATGCGGTGCGAGGCTCAGGTAAAGAGAATTCTAAACGAGCGGCTTGCTGCTTCTTTACCATGTCCACATTATCATGGTGGTCCATGACGCGCTCATTGAAGGATTGAAATCATCACTGATGTGAATGACGTCGACACGCCGGGATGCGATTATTGGGCTGCTAGTACATAGGCGGGCCTAGCCCCTGGTCGACCTCCCAGGCGCCGAATGGGCTGGTAGGATAGCTAAAGGATCGCTTTAAAGACGGCCGGTGGCCCTGTGAAAGCCTCACCAAAGGTGTCGATAATACTCAACAATTGCTACTCGGTGCAGTAGGTTTAAGAAGTGCTTCATCCTCAGAGAACTCCAACTTTTCCCAGGATCCTCCTTTCCCCGTCTGGCTGCTACCTATGACTGTATCCGCCATTTGCAATAGATTGTCTGTACCTACCTATCTCCTTGCTCAATGACGATGCTCTTGTCGTGACAAGTCGTCATCACGGTCCAGATGAAAGACTCAATCCCGAGTTCAAGCCTCGCCGCTCCTGTTCTTGCAGAGCGTCTCTGTCACGAGTCTCGCTCTTTTTCCGCTTTCGGAATGATCCACCAACTCGCGCAAACCAGGACAAACAAGCCTGCCAGAATCGGTTGCAGGACTTTAACGCCAGCATGAGCTGCGACGAGACCAGTGAGGGCGGGGAAGAGACTGCCGCCGGCTTGGGCGAGGACAAATATGAAACCTGTAACACTTCTAGGTCAGAGGACAATGTACAGTTTGACGGCGATATGAATCATTGGAGCCGCCCGCACCTAGGGCTGTATTCTGGATAGCCTTTGGACAGAGTTTTGTAGCGACGGATACTCCCTGCAGACGTAGATGGTTAGTTTCCCACCTCACTAGCAGGAGGCTCAATACGCGGAGACAGCATACAGTTGGAAAGAATGGACCGGCGAAAAATCCAAGTGCTGAGAACAGCACTGCGTCGCCCACAACATTGGGTATTCTCCAGAACATGATCTGTAGGGCAAGACAAGCAAGCGCATAGAGGAATACCATGCGCCGCTCTCCGTAACGGTGAGTTGGTTCCATGAGCAGCAGACGGCCGAGGAAGCCCCCGCCGTTGTAGCCTGCAGACACGTAGCCCATGGTTTTCATGTTGCGGCCTCGCACACGAACCAAATATTCGACGACCCAACCTAATGACGAATCGATCCAGTTAGCAAGAGGGCTCGTATAGAAAAGATGGGAACCTAGTAAACTAAGTACTTACCTCCTGCCGTGATCATTGCACCCAAGAAGAAGAAAAAAAAGAGACTGATCAACCAAATTGACCGGAGTTTCAGTGTTTGCAGAATCTCGTTGAAAGCCTGCTTGTTCCTGGACTGAGGACTACCGGGGGTGACGCGCGCGGCAATGACACCGTCTGTCGACGTCGGCCGCTGCTGCTGTGTTTGTGCATCCCGTGCGTCCATTGCCCTTGTCCTCTCCTTTCTCTCCTCATACATATCTCGGCCGAAAGCACCAAAAACGAATCCAAGGTTGAGGACACCTAGGCCAGCCTCGACAGCATAGGTATAGTACCACTTACTATTACTAGCTATCGGAGTGGCGACAAATGGGCCGGTAAGGCAACCTAACATATACATAGCATGGATGAAACCGAGCCAGCGATGTGCTCCTGGAACAGTTGCAACGAATGTGTTGGAATAAGAATCCTGATACGCTTGCCCAAGAGATGTAAAGAAGAAGGTCACAGAGAATAGACCGAAAGGCGGATTCCACAGCCTGAATAGCTGAGATAGGAGCTGCAACCCTGCTCCCAACAGCAGAGTTGCGCCCAGGGAGAGACGTATCGTGGTTGTCAGATGAGTGTTGGTCATGGCTGAGGTGAACCAGCCGGCGAAATTGGCTACATAGCTATGTGAGTAGTCAGTCGAGCTTCTCCATGGCCGGCTGGGTGAACGGATGATACATGACGGTGATCAGGCCAGTGCTGATATTGTATCTCTGCAGCATATACGGTAATAGTGGCCCCGTTGTCCCATCATTGGTCCCGGCATAGAAGAATGAGAAACCGGCACATATCAGCTTCAAGTACGAACGTGTCGTAGCTTGCTCTTCCGACAGCTCGCCTTGCCTGTCTGACGGTGGAGGATTGCTGCGGTCGATATCTACTCTCGAAGATACATCGTGGGGCCTCGACTGGAGTTCCATTATAGGGCGCGACGGTACAACTCAAGTCGAGGATTAGAAGTGACTTCGAGACTCGAGAGGACCCTCAGGATTCTTTTCAGCCAGGAATATATCGTGTCAAAGGCCTGCGGATGCGGCGGGGCGGAAAATCATCGGCAAAGCCGACCTCAGGAGTGGTCCATGTGTTCATGATCATCAAAGGGCGACACCAGATACTGTTCTGATTCAAGCCCGTTGAGGGCGCAAGAACGACTGTCAATCATATGGACAGGAACTTCAGAACGCGGAATGCCGGCTCCACGGCTGAGAATTCCCACGGCATCGACAACATCTGCCGAAGTTTAGGCACTCGGGGTGTTTGAGGATTAGTTGAAAGGGAGCAGAAGGGAGGTCTTCGTGCTTGGTGATGGCTTTTAGAAAGAATGGTGCGTGACGATCATGTTCCGTTGTGGTTATGCAATATCTTTGCTTAGAAACGTTCCCCGATGACTTCTCTTGTACACCTGTGCCTGCACGGACGAGTGCTTTCATCTCAAGACGAAGTTCTCAGACCTAGCATCCGAGTCGTCGCAATCAATTCTCCGTTCATGACTCCATGTACATAGCACTCTCCCACAAATCGGTACGAGAGCGCTTTTTCCTCATCGACATTTCTCTGCCTCGTGTCCTCACCATCCACACCGATTTTCTCCTCTTTCTCTTTGGTTGTCTCGTCGTTATCCTCGCACCGGCGTAAGACGGACGGAACCTGCGCTCCGTCCAGAATTACAACGACATCGCCATCCCTGCTTCCCTGAGGCACGAGCGCAATATACCCATGGCGTGTGACTGCGAAGTGCCGGCGTGCAGAGTGCAGGTCCAGTGACATTCTGAAACCCGCCACCTTTCGCACGTAGCCCTCCGGGTCGCGCTGCATCTCCGGGTCCAGCATGTACTGCTGCGCGGCGATTCGGCCATGACGAGCTGGCCATCAACAGTCCGGTTGGCGATCCGAGTCCGCCAGATCGCGTCGTGCCTGGACTCGCTAGTCCAGTAGGGATCTGCAGTCCCGGTGCGGGCGAGATCTAATATCTCTTCGTGCCATGCTCGGATGGCTGAGGTGTCGACCAAGAATTTTGCTGTCCCTGTCTGGTCGGAAAGCCCGGTAACTGTGTCGGGTACGGGTGCTAGTCGAGTGATTTGGTCTACGTAGATTCCGCACACGGCAATCGCGTTCGAGTCCGCTTGAAGTTGAATCAACGCCTTGGTCGAGCCAGACGCCGCATACGCCACGGACAAAGCAGTGGGCACACTGGATAGTCGATACGTGTAATGTGCATCGCTCCAGTCACGGACCCACGAGGGCAGGTCAGCAATCTTCCGTGGGTTGCCAATCCCGGCCTCGGGCAGCGCTTTGACGAGATGGTCTCGCGTGAGAAGATGCTTTGCATGCTTGTGTAAACCTCCGATGCGGATTTCTGGTTGTCGGCAGAATTGACTCTTCTAGAGCGTGCGAGACCGACCCGAGAAGGGCAAAAACCTTGTCTCTGGAATCGGCGGCTTGAGATCGTACGAACCTCGCTACGAGATCCTCAATGAGGACGGGCTTCTCCCGCAAATGGGCCGCTCGGATGTCCATAATATGACGTGCACTCTCTAGTGACAGAGCAATCGACCCCGAAACTCCGGTCCAGGTGTCGCAGAATGATACAGTCGTGTCATCGAGGAGACACTGAAGAGACCCATCACAGCTATGAGGATCTCGAATGATAGGTAGTGAATACCGTAGACGACATGGACAGGAACTGCGACGACTTCTTCTTGTATGGTTCAGACGCGACTGAACCAGGAATGATGGAGGAGGCTGAGCACCGCTTTGAGCTTCGGTGTATCTTTGGTCCTTTGGAGTTTTTCGAGCAGTACAGGCTCAAGCTCTGCAACTTGAGGCGTCTTGGACGCTATGAATCCCTGTACGTCACCCTATAGTTCCATGATGAAATCAATCGCGGATTTGGTGTCGTTGGAGCGACCAAGCCAGACAATGACTCTGCTCGCACGGCGGTAGATATCTTGCATCCGCTTCACCTGCCAGTTTTTCTCTTCCACGGTGTCCTGATCAATGCAAATGGCATCGACCCAGATCCACCGGCTGATCAAGAAAGAGCAGCATGCAGAACGTCGTACACGTTTTGTGTCACGGGCATGGCACAGCCATCGATGAGGATAGAGTGATGAGCTTGCTGAGGGTCCCCCAAGTGTACGAGATGGATTCATAACGTGGCGTACCATCTACCGTGGATGGTACCAGTTGGCAAGACAATCGAGCAAATGTAATCTTCTCGACAATCTCAATAATCTGATCTCCTCAGCTCCGTTGAGAGGGCTGTATTTGAAGGATCGACTTTCTGATTTCTCTCCCTGATTCACATGAACAGAGATGATGCTGATAAGGGTGTTAAAGGGTAGTAAGCCCGACTGAATTGTACCCTTCCAGCGTTTCTGCTGCACACGGTGTACATAGAACAGGGGCCTCTCGATATATCTGTATGCGTTTGCCCAGCCGAGGTTTAAAATGGCCCAGCCGTTGTAGAGAATCGAAGGCGAGATGAACAGGGCCCAAGCGACTGTGAGAACAAGTTTGATAACCGCATCTGTCGTGTCGCTATAGTCCACAAGCTTCCGAATGGCAGCATGAGCCCCGTAGAATGTGGCGGTTGCAAAGACATATCTAGTGGCCTAGGCTTGCCCGGGGTAGCCTCGTGAGGTAGCTGCAGGAGGTGGCGGTGCAAGATACCAAGAACGCCTCCTCACTTTGGGAGTGAACGACTCAAAGTTGCCGCCTAAAGATCAAGGGATGGGTGCCGAAGGACAGGTGAGTGCAAATGCAAGGGGCCCGGCACTTCTTACATGACATCTAACAATGTCATCCTGTTGGATTATCTTGACCATTGACAGATCGTGAGCGAAAAGGGGTGACAAACCCATTCCTGATTGCAAGGGAGTACTACAGTACTCTTTTCACCCAAGGCATTGAAAATCCTTCAACTCCCCCTTCGGCAGCACTTTCTCGTGCGCACCTCTACCGCCGAACCTGCTCTTCCAACACCACGCCTCATCCCTCTCGGGCCCGTTCGACTTACCGTCCAGCACGTTGACGACATATTTGCCAATATTCGGCAGGAATTTCCAACTGTGAAACGATCCAGCCGTCGCGAAGTAGAGGTTCGACAGCCGCGGGTCAGGATGTTGCGCGATCAGTTGGTTTTGGTCCGGTGATATGGCGTCCCAGCAGAGGCGCCAGTCGTCGGGCACTCTGCCGCCGTCGAGGATCTGCGGGACGCGCTGGCGGATGATTTCTATGGACTGGTGTTGGAGCGACTCTGAAACGGAGTGTTGGTCGGGTGCCGGCACCGAGATGTTTTGGCCTGTCTCTGGATGTGGTTGGGTGTTGAGGAAGGTGTTGGCATTTGTGAATTTAAAGAGGCGCTCTCCATTGGGCGGCATCACCTCCCCTTTTGCTCCGTATATCAACACCGGCATCTGCGAGTAATACCGGGCTTCTTCTTCAGAGACGTGGAATGCTGCGACACATACTCCCGCGGCCTGGATCTGTCTCTGGATGCTGTTTTCTTGGGAAATGGCCATGGTGTTCTCAAGCGGCGCCATCAGCCATGGTGTCCACGCCCCCGTAGCTAGAACAATCTTTTCTCCAGTGAATGTCCGCCCGTCAGCCGTGCGGACACCAGTCAGCTTGACACCATCACTGAGTAGCTCCTTCACTTCTCCTACCTTGTACTTTACACCAGCTTTGACAGCTTCATTCATCATAGCAGCCACAGCGGCAGAGGCATCAGCCCAGCCGGCGCTGGAATTCGTGTAGGCCTTGTTGTACCCAGTAGTGTCTATTCCGCAGAGGACGCCGCCCCAATTAGACCTGACTTGGTCCAAGGTAATATCGGCGGAGGTATCGGGTCGACCACTTTCTCGGAAGTTCCTCCGAATACGATCCGCGAGGTCGCTGCCCCTCTCGTCCAACATGACCCAGCCGGTCTGGTGGAAGTACGGCTTCATGATTGGATTATCTGTCCAATACTCCATGGCCTCGTAGGCCAAGTCCATGTAAAAGGCTTTGCTGTAATCGGCGCGCACGATCTTGTTGATATCCGAGGACGCGGCCTTTGGTGAGGGCGCGGGTGCGCGGTCCAAAACTGTAATACGTGATGGGTCTGCATGGCCGAGACAGAGGTGGTATGCAGTGCTGGTGCCAAAGATGCCCGCCCCTATGATCAGGACGTCGCAGTCTGGAGCGTCAACGGAGCCCATTGTGGTCCTCTCTGTAGAGGGGTGTAAGCTGGTCTCGCCGGATGCGCCGTTCGGAGCAGTTTCTGCTGTTGGATGACTTCTTCTGGTGACGGGATGGATATCGTACTCGACAGCCAGAGGCTGAGATCAGGTGCGAAGACTGATTGTCCACCGTCATTGGATGTTCCATCTTGTAACACCTCCTTGCCCCCCCAAAGACCCATGGTCCCCGGGTGCCTCCGGTATCTCCCCCCAAGGCATGCGGAGTCAATTCCACTCGTCCACCCGGATGCAGCACCCAGCTATCAAGCCCGGCGCCGGGAGAAAAGTGTGCAGCCCACCTCGTAGTGCCTCACCAGCCACCAACTCCGCGTGGAACTGCCGGTGTCTAGGGGCAACTTGGGGTCAAACACAGGCTTGCAGCTAGCGCCGCGATTCAAGCTTTTCATCCAGATCCTCTTCAGATCCAATCGCATTGCCAGGGCTGTTGAGACATCCACAACGTACCTCGGTACATATCTCAACGAGCGAGGAGGTGGTTAAACTTATCGGAGGGTCGCGACTTCGAAGCCATGGATGACAGGTCGGATGCCGTCCGTGGTTTCGTTGAAGAATGGGCATCTTGGGTTATCTCTGACCGCCAGTGGCTCCCTCTGTTGCATCTGTTCAAGGCTGATTTTGTAGATACCTTGTCATCTTCTTTCCTTTCCCTCGTCCGTGGGTTTCTACGTAGAGTAGACGGGAATCGGCACATTTCTTGCCGCTAGACCTCATGGCTCTTGGTACGACTCTTCTCTCCGCTTTCCAATAATTGCTTCTTTGTCTTTGCATGCTGACTGCGTTTCCTCACAGCAACTGCTGCTGCCGCTGCTGCAGGTGGCTGGGCCGCAGCGGCCTACCTGGATGCCAAATTCAATATTCGACATGACCTCGACGCCATCAGGAGACTGAGAAGGGGAGCAAAGGAGTACGACCGGATCGTCAAAGAGGACAAGGTCTGCTTCTTCTATGCTCTCGAAGAGACATGCAAAAAGAGATGGAACAACCGCGCCATCTGGTCGAGAGAGGGTGGCATATACACCTTTGGCCAGCTTTACGAGGAGACCCTGCGATACGCCCAATGGATGATGGAGCAGGGCGTCAAGCCCGGGGAACTGGTGGCCATGTATATGACCAATTCGCCGCAGTTCTTTATCGCCTGGTTTGCCTGCGCGGCTGTCGGCGCGGCGCCCGCGTTCATCAACTACAATCTCGAAGGGAAAGCGTTGATGCACTGCCTGGACGTGTGCCAGACGAAATTGTTGATTGTCGATGAAGATGCCGGCTGTCAAAAGAGGATCAACGAGAGCCGGGCAGACATGGAAGCCAAGGGCACAAAAATTGCGGTTCTCGATAGCACTCTGAAGCAGGAGATTGCAACGAAGCCCGTCGAGAGACCGGCTGATGAACGTCGTAAAGGCACAAAAGGCAGCTTTCCTTACTGCTTAATATACACCAGGTAAGCTATCTCGCCATCTCGCTCTATTTACTAAACAGGAGAACTAACACATCATCCATCGCAGTGGAACTACCGGTCTTCCCAAAGGTTGTGCTTTCACCCTACAGCGTGTCTACCTCATGTGCGGTCACTTGATGCCTCTGTGTGGAGGTGCCCCCGGCAAGGATCAATGGTTCAATTCCATGCCGCTCTATCACGGCACAGGCGCAATCACAACCTCCTGTGCCCTTCTACAGGGCATCGCTGTTGCCATTGCACCCAGGTTCTCCGTCTCGCGGTTCTGGAACGACATCCACGACTCCGAGTCCACGTTCTTCGTCTACGTCGGCGAGACAGCACGCTATCTGCTCAATGCGCCGCCTCACCCGCTCGAGCGGGCACACAAGCTGCGCTGTGCTTACGGGAACGGCTTGAGGCCCGATGTGTGGGAGAAATTTCAAACGCGCTTCAACATCCCCGAGATTGGCGAATTCTTCAATTCCACAGAAGGCATGTTCGGTCTGTTCAATTGGGACAAGGGACCGTACCTGAGAGCGTGTGTTGGCCACCACGGGTTAATTCTCCGCACGATGCTACGGAACGTCTACATTCCGGTCAAGATCGACCACGAGACCGGAGACATCTGGCGGGATCCCAAGACAGGCTTTGCCAAGCGAACTCCGTACGAAGAAGGTGGCGAGATCATTGTTGCTGTGCCGAACAAAGAAGCATTCCAGGGCTATTGGCGGTCCCAGGCCGCCACGGACAAGAAATTCTGCACGGACGTGTTCAAGAAGGGAGACATCTATTATCGCTCCGGAGACGCCTTGAGACGAGAACCGGACGGGAGATGGCATTTCCTCGACCGTCTAGGCGACACATTCCGCTGGAAATCTGAGAACGTCTCGACGGCAGAAGTGGCCCTGACGATAGGCCAGTATCCCGGCATCGCCGAGGCAAACGTCTACGGCGTGTTGGTGCCGAACCACGAAGGCCGAGCAGGATGCGCCGCTATACACCTCGATCCAAACTACACAGGACCGGCGGTCGACTACAACGACCTGTTGAAGTTCACGCGCGGTCGGCTGCCCCGGTACGCCGTGCCGGTGTTCTTAAGGATCGTCAAGGCGAGCACGCATATCCACAACCACAAACAGAACAAAGTGCCCCTGCGCAAAGAAGGCGTCGACCCGAGCGCGGTCGGCAAGGAAGTGCCCGAGGGCAAAGACGACCTGTTGCTCTGGGTACCGCCCAAGGCGAATGAATACGTGCCGTTCACGCCCGAGGATTGGCAAAAGCTGGTCACCGGGCAGGCCAAGTTATAAATACATATACAGCAGCAGCAGCAGTAGCAGCAGCATTTTTCTGTGGAGAAAGCCAGCCATACAAATCCGGAGTCCGGAAAGAATTTAGCATGCAGATATCCCATCCATCCATCCATCCCCCCACCCATACATCGATACATACCCGTATGTATATCCGCTAGACCTGCATATGGCATCATATATCAGCATCTTGAATACGAAGGCGACACATGGCACAAAAAGGCCCTTTTGTATCGAATGTGCCGCAAAGTCCTCTCTTCCAGACTACACAGACATGGCCGGTAGAAGACGGGGAGGGACGTAGGAAAGAAGGTGAAGAGGCCTTGAAGGGAGGCTATGTTGAGAGAGGGAAGGAGAGAGGGAGGTCTGAAAGGAGGAAGATGGTTGGGGGAGCCGCTTATAAAGGCCGTCGTAGAATATTGCGTATCTGGTACATCATTTCGCTATACCTAATGGTACTCAATCTTGTTTGGCTCCTGCATCCCGTAGCATCTCTTCATTCTTCTCATGACCACGGTTTATTGCTTCCCGTATTGCGTTCTCAAAGTCTTTTTCCCCTTTGGTGTTAACATCAGCCCCGCATCGAGTAGTATCCGAACGATGTTCTCTCGACCGAGTGTTGATGCTATCTGTAGTGCATTACCAAAATATCCTCCTCGGATATTGACATCGAATCCCGCATCGAGGAGTGTTCGAACAACATTCTCTTGACCGAATGCTGATGCTGTCTGTAGCGCATGACCATAAAGGTCCTCCTGAATTGACATAGGCCCTTACATCGAGTGATTGCTTCACAACCGCTTCATGCCCGCCCCCAACAGGGCCTAAGTCAGTGCTGCCCAACCACCAGGATCTCTGGAGTCTACATATAGGTAACCAGTGTCAAATAACATTTTCACCGCTTCATGTCCAAACTCTGCCGCATGCGATAGTGGTGTCCTGCCATCCAAATTCTTCCGGTTCACGTCTATCTCAAAGCCATCGAGTTATCGTTCCATGAGTGATCATGTTCTTTTGGTGATGAGTGTCGACGCAAGTGATCGAGTGACCATTGTACATGCTGATGATCGAATACCGCGTGCACTGAGAACAAATCTTTCCCTGTTTCCGGATCCTCGTCTGTCAACAGAAGAGGCTTTTTGGTGAGAGAGCGGTAACCTGAGTTGCGTATCTTGAATGAGAGCCTGTATAGATGCTCCATGACATGTTTGATTTCGTCCAATCTCTCGGTTAGTTCGCCGGCGTCTAGTTCGCTGCTGGTATCACTAAAATCCCCACCGTCTTCATCTGAACCGGGATTGTCATGGCCACTCGACTCAGAGTTCGCGGGCAGCTCTTGCTCATACGGTAAGTGCAGACCTGTGGTTATCTCTGCGCCTAGAGGACCACGGGCGCTCAGCAAGAGAGGCTCCTTCAGGAAGACATAGCAAGCCACTCTTGGTCAAATAGTCCTGTAGCTCCCCGAGGAATTTGAGGACAACTGCTCGTAGGACCACCGAGTCTCGTATCTAGCATCGAGAGCACTCCGGCCCCTCTGTAAAGCACCCAAATTGCCTGCCCAAATCTTGAAACGGGCATATTCATGGTCGAGTGCCTGTGCCGGCATCATCTTGTTCCCCTCATCTGAAGATGTTGGCAATGATCGCGTGAGCGTGTCGAAACATCTTAAGCAAAAGACAAAAAGGGCACCAATGTCATCAATGGCGAGTGTTTCGGTCTAGAGAGCGGAAAATACTAAGCATTCATAGCGGCACCAACGGTGTACAAGTATGCATGGAGTGTGGGAATCTGCGATGTTTTGAGTTGAGAAGCTCGGAGCCTCGGCAGCCGTGGGAAACCTTGGCGGGGCAATGGGGGGAAGGCTCGAGGGGCGCCGCGGGGCAAACCTGCATCTCCACCTGGACAGAGCCGCATTGATGCTTGTCCGGTGGTCGCTGCTACTAACACAGTGAATGACTTGCTTCTGCTTCATCTCGCCATCGTCGCTTTCAGACCGGTTTTACACCCACATCTCTCCCCCCTCCAAAACAACGGCAGGAGTGGAAGCAGCTGGGCCCGTCCTGGGCGTCCTCCCTCTCATCATATCCCTGGACCACAGCAGGTTTGAACACGTCCGCTGGCGTGAACGAGTCAGGACTGACTCTTGTAGGTAGTCACAAGCCAAACCCTCTGGCCCCTTGTCTCTTCCAATCGACCAGCCGCGAACACTCCTTTTGATCGTGATACTTTCGACCTTGGGTAGAGGATCAAGTTTGCTATGAAGAACCGTGTGAAGACCTCATTAGAGCGCCCGGAGGCTTGATACGAGACAATCAATGCCTTGGCCGCAAGAGCCAATAAGCTGCAGGAGGAAGTTCCGCAGAGTCGCCTCAAGCTGAAGTTTTCTGCACAGCTAGATATCGTCCAGGAGAACGCGAGCAAAATATGTCGAGCCATTTCACAGAACTGGTGCACCGATAAGCCTGTCCATGCTGCTCGCCTGCTACTTGAGCAACGACTAGTGAGGTCCAAAAAGCGGAAGGGACCTTCGCAACCAGCGGATGTGAGCTCCATGGTGCGGGCGACTCGCTTCAGGTTGAGCCTCTACGGGGACTGCGGTGCATCTTCTGGGTGGTTGAATTCTGAAAGAAGGATTGACGAACTTCCATCGAGTACAGTGCTTCGAGGATTCTCTCACGATTTAGTTCTGACCTCTGATGCTGACATGATCTCGATGTAGCACGAAGACGGTTCGCGTGACGTTCTCGGTCCCGGGGAACGACGACGACTTTGACGCTGCAGGTCTAAAAGCCATCACAAACTGTTGCCAGATTATCAGAGAACCTGCCTACGCGTTTGTAGATTTCTCTCTTGACGATACGGGATGTTTGAAATCATACGCCTCGAAAGCGACTATCAAACACGTCCAGAAATCTTTGACACTTGAAGATCTCTTACGCACTTCGAGGGCAAACTCCCCCAGAGCAAGAGTATGGAGGCCATTAGGATTTGGCACTGTTGGAAACCCACGGTCCAATGATCCGGCTGGCCACAGAGACTGTTCGAATTTGCTTGTCTTGGCTATTATGCTGCTCGAAATCAGTTCTGGACAGCCTGTTGAGCAAAGACGCAAAGACGACCTACCGGCCAACAACTTGCGTAACGATCAGTCCGACCTCCAGCTGGCAGACAAATGGCTGAAGGAGCAACAATCCGGCGGGAGGATATTCAGCGCATTCGCACAGGCTGTTCTGACCTGTCTACAAGACTACCTCAACCCCGACGCAAATTTCGCGGACGACGGATCCTGTGCGGCCTTCGAGGCAAAGGCTCTGTTGCCGCTTGAAGAGGAAAGGGAGTTTCATCCTCGGTGGACCTCCTCGGTAATCTTCGAATGGGGGTATCATGAAAGAGTAAAGTGATTCACGAGTATTGGATCGAAATCGTCCTTCGTCTACGGCACAGTATGGCGTTGGCCTTCGGTGGTAACGGTTCTCTTCATCTGTTCCATGTCGTTTACCTTTGGAAATACGCGGCAGTGGTCCCTCTATTATCTATCCTCTATCCTGTGTAATTTGCATTTGGAAATATTAGTTCTCCATCACCTAGGTCCTATCCCATGCCGCTTGCGATGGGAAACAGTGGTTCGCTCTAGTGATAAAGATGAGTTTTGTTTTGATGTTTGGATGAGTTCATTACCCATTAGCGAACTACCTAGGTAATGGACACCACAGAGTACTCCATACATGTAACGCTGGTCGGTCTGGTTTCCGTTTCAAGATCTGGGGTTTGCTTTTTCATCAGTTTTTTTCCCCCTTCCCCATCACGCTGCCTGGGTGGGATTGGCATTTCGGCGGGGAGGTCGGTAAGTCGGTGTGTAGGTATATACATGGGAGTTACGGTGTGTGTCATCAATTGCCCTCCTCCATACGAGTACAGTAGCAATCCTGCCCCGCCGCGGCCGCCGCGTCGCGTGCCATATTTCCTTATGCGTCCGGACGAAAGGGGGGAGTGATCCTCTGTAAAGGCATTCCCTTTCTTTTTGCTCTTGCAGCCACCTTTCTGAAGCACAAACGTAAAACGCAATCTCGCATCTCCTTACCGCTTCGCCCCGCTCAACGAGACCCACGTGAAACCTCGCTGTGGGTCAGGACGAATCCCGTGCTCTTCCCCCTACCACAGACGTCGGTGGCGAATCGGTAAAACAAAAACAATCCATGTTCCATAGCAGCGGTCAAAGAGGTAGCCCCCGATGCTGTCGACACGATTCGTGTCGTGATCCGAAAGACAACATGTTGCGAGATGCTGAATCAGACAAATGCCATGCACCTTTCCCCGTTTTCCATGCTGTGCTTTGTCTATCCAATTCCGATTCCATTGTCGATTTGAGATTTGAAATGCACGTCTCTATCATTTCCCGTTCCTTTTCACGCCCTTTTGAATGCCTTTCCTGCAAAATTCACTTTGAAACAGACGGTGATATAGTACATTTCGTCGTCTCGCCAGGCTCCTGCACATTCGTACGAGAATGATTCTCGTGTCCATGGCTGTCCGTCCTTCGCTCCTGGTTTCGATGTCCTTCTAGGACAAGGTCGCACGTTTGCATAGACAGTCCCTGTCTGAGAGAGCTCGCGAAGTGAATAGTAATAGCTCACATTGAACCTGTTGTGTGTGTTGCCCTGTTTTGTGTGGTGCGCGTGATGGATTCAGCTGAGCAAAGATTCTCTAGTTGAATACCCCTACCTTCAGCGGCCCCGCAAGTGTCGCGTTTTCCTGATGGACTCGCTCGTGGCAATCGTGGACAGAGTCATCGGTAGTCGCATAAGTGGTGTTATTGGTGTAGATTGAAGATTTGGTTGAATCGCGCACCGGTTGTCGATAGACGCCGCCGACATAGCCTCTCTCGATGGCGAGATGCTTCAGGGGAGAGGGGTCGAACCGGCGAATAAACACCTCGTCCAAATCGCGGCTCTTTGGTGCAGAATATCGTCTGTATTCGTCGACACAAGCGTCAGGGGTCCATCCTGTCACCTTGCGGAATGCTGCTGTGATGCAACCGCTTCGGTGTTTCCCTTTGTTACAGTGGATGAGCATGGGATAGTTGGACGGATCGAGCATGAGTTCCACGACCTTGCATATGTCTGCATCCGGAGTATAGACGTCTGCATCCTTGTTGGCAAGGATAGGGATGATATAATGCGTAATGCCGTGGGAGGTGATGAATTTCTGATAGTCGAGTGGGAGAGGCCCGGGAACCAGGGTCACAATGGTCTTGAGCCCGAGGTCGGCAAGGGTCTCGAAATGTGCATACTGGGGATAACTCGATCGGTAGAGTCCAGGGGCAATCACTTGGAAGTTGACTGGACGTCCTGTGCCGTCTGGAGTAGGTGGTTGAGATTGATCAAGTTGGATGGTCTTGGAGCCTGATGACACGTCCAGTTCCGCCAGAGACGCTGCAACATCTTCAGAAGTAACCAGTCGGTTGGGCACTCTCTGGTCCTTTGAGGTCATTTTGCGATTTCCGACAACAAGCGCGATAGGGCAAGATGACCCGTCGTTTGGGGAGTAGTCGGTGGATAGCGACGTCGTTGACTGCTGCGCGTTGTCCAAAGCTCGGGTTGTTAGAGTGGCGATACAGGCAATCGATCTGAGGAGTTGACGAGGGAGGAAATGAGGATCGATGCGAGAAAATGGACCTCCTGGAGTGGACTTTTATACAACTCCCGGGGGCCCAAGTGGGAAGGCGGCTGAACACCTTGAAGAGGTGGTTAGATGGCCATTTTATGTGGATGGAGGACGTGTGCCAACGGATAGGCTGAGGCCGAGTTCTTGATCGACGACGGAGGTCCTCCAAAGCAACAGTGACCTGTAGACGGGTGCTCGGATGGTAGGAATTAAGCTTCCTTGGTCACGAAGACTCGAATCGGGAGAGAGGGAGAAGCTGGTCGCTGTTTTGTAGCTAGCTAGAGCGGACGAGGCAATTATCTGGACGGGAATCGGCCCTGACAACAAGGCATGGCGATTGGACGCATGGCGAGGATTGTTTCTGGAGAGCTCTGGGTGGAAAGCACTGCAGAAGGAATAGCAGGCGGCATGCTGTGGCCGAAGATGACTGGGGGAGAAGAAATAGGGATCGAGAACGAGAGTGAGATGGTGGGTGAGAAGGAGAAGAAAGAATGATGAGCTAGATCGACGGGCGAGAGTTTTCGGGCAAAGAAAAACAAGAGGCGCCAGAGGGGCGTGTAGCTTGGTAAGTTCTGGCAACCAACGTGACAGGCGTCACCAGCGCGCAATGCAGACGTGGTACGTGTGGTTTGATTGTGGTTCCAGTCAGAGGAAGCGGATTGGCAGCATCACCAATCACCCATTCGCCAGGCAGCCACCGCGGGACGACAGGGAGAGAGGCAGACGAGGGAGGGAGACGGGGGGAACGGGGATAAGGCGAGGACGGAAGCTACAAAGGCCACGAAGAAGGAGAAGCAGCTAGGTTACAAACAGGAGTAAAGACGGAGGCGAAACATCGGGCAGCGCGGAGAAAAGAAGAGGGAAACGCACAAGAAGATGATTTGAGGTAATAAAAAATCCATTCATCAATTACGAGTAATTAGGGTGGCATTTGGTGGACTGGCAACCGGCATTTTTAATGGGGGAATCTAATGAGGCCAGGCACGTGCATTCTTGGGCGGTGACGGGTCTGGGACAGGTCTCGATCACGTGTTGTCGGGGCAGGCAGATGCTCCCAAGGAACACAAGTACAGGTCCTGGTCCTGGTAACAAGTAGACAGACCTTCCTCTACCAAGTACCGAGCACTCCGTCCTGGGGACTATATCTATCATGAGGCAAATCCCCCTTCGGATCAATTCCCTAATGGCCCAATCCAAACATCTCGGTCGAATTCGTCCACGCCGCCTCGCTCACTTCCTCCACTGCCAGCCCCTTCACGCCGGCAATCACGTGGGCCACCTGCACTATCGTTGCCGACTCGTTTCGTCCTTTGACCATCATCCCTTTCTGCCATCTCTCCTTCTTCACCGCTTTGGGGATCACCGGCCCATCTTTCAGGTACTGCGATGAGGCATGAGACGCTCGTATCTCACACCAGGGTCCATCCGTCTCGATCTGAAGACGATCCAGAGGAACCGCTTTGATCACCTCCAGGTTCTCTGCTGTCTTCATACTGCACCCGTTGATGCCGATGTCAAACCCAAGCTTGACCAATGCCTCCATTTCCGGTATGGTGCCGGTAAAGCTGTGCACCAGGCCGCGTTTGGGCAGCTCGTCTAAGCGGGCGCTGAGGATTCTCTCAAAGTCCTCGCTGCATGCTCGTGAGTGTAGGAACAGCGGCAGCTGCATCTCCACTGCCAGGTCCAGCTGCAGCTCGAAATATTTGAGTTGGACATCCTTGGGCGATAGGAACAGTCGATCGTAGTCTAGCCCGATTTCTCCAAAGGCGACTGCATGTCCACTCTCTTTTGCTTCGAGAGTCAGATCACGAAGCTCTTGGATGAGGGCACTCGGCCCGCCGGCGTGATTGTCAAAGTCCTGCGTCGAGCATGGATGTACCCCAATCGTCGCAAAGCAAATGCCCGCTTGGAATGAGTCAGAAGCGCGGACACTGTCGGCAGGGTGTCGGTTACATACGGTATTGTTTCGCGAGCTCGACCGCATGATGGGACTCTTTCAGGCTGGAGCCAGTGACCATCAACTTGGTACAACCCACGTCCAGGGCTCGTTGGACAACGTCGTCTAAATCATCCTCATGCGCTTGCTTCCCGTGGTACACCCCGCGGAAAACAGGGTCGCCTAGGTTGATGCCCACCTGAATCTGTCAGCCTCAAGAATGGCTCATCCCTCCCATGCGGCTACGCACGTCTGCGTACCTCAACGGTTTCGTGTTGTTCGCCATGGTGGCGTAGCTGGCTATGTTTTCTTGCCAGGGACTGACATGTATCCGAGCAAGCCGCCCCCCGGGATTTAGTCCTATGACAAGATTCAGACGTGCCTCTCCAATCAAGGACTTTGCAGACACAATGGCTTACCAAGATTTAGACGTGACCAAAGACAAATGGCCGACAAGGCTGAAGGTTTCAGGAGACGGAGGACGCGACTGCTGGAAAAAGGATGTGACCGCAGTAGCATCAGATTAGCTGCAAAGACTTGGGGCGGCTGCAGGAACAAGATCTGACCGTGGGTTGGAGTGTGAGTTGTCGTGCCGCCGGGGGGCCAGAATTGAGAACTGAGAACTCCGATCAACAAAAATGGTCGCCGACGCGCTCGGCGTCAATTCCGCCGAGAGGCGCCATTCGCGATTCACGTGATCCTCTTTACTCCTCGCCTCGCAGCTTGCTCGAAGCTCCAATCACTCCAGCCCTCCATCTTCCCTTCCACCACTCTCCGCACCGGCCTTGACACCGACAGCCTCCCGTCCAAGTAGGCCATCTCGACCAGTGGCTAAAATGGTCACTTTTGGTGTCACCAGCCGGTAACTATACCTTCGACCGATGGAGTGAAATGACTTGGATGGGTGCTCTCATGGTGGGAGGCGGGACTGCTATATAACCAGCGTCCCAGATGCTGTCTCTTCTGCTTACCCATTTTCTGGGATAGGATAATCCTCGAGCTTCCCCGACGGGCGCCCAATGGCGCAACGCAAGATCTCGGTAGCTGAGATCTCATCTCACAGCGCAGACACCGACTGCTGGATAGTCGTGGACAACCAAGTATGGGACATCACCAAATTCGCCCACGAGCATCCTGGCGGTCCAGGGATCATATACAAGTACGCGGGTCGGGACGCCACCCAGGCGTACAATGAAATCCACTCTCCAGCGATAATCAGAAACAACCTTCCTGCAGACGCCCTCAAGGGAGTGCTGGACAGATCCACAATCACTGAGGAATGGTCACAACCTCTTCCCACCGAGACACCCAAAGCCAAATCAGATTCGAGCCCCAATAAGCCACCGTTAGATTCACTGATAAATGCCCACGATTACGAACTCGCCGCCCGGAACAGCGCTACCGCAAAGACATGGGCATTCTACTCCTCTGCCGCCAACGACCTGATAACGCGAGACCTCAATGCCAGCCTCTTCAGTCGCGTGCTCTTCCGCCCACGTGTGATGCGTCGCGTGGACAAGATCAACCCCGAAACCACCATTCTGGGCCATCCCGTCTCCTTTCCACTGATGATCTCTCCCGCCGCAATGGCGCGCTTGATCCACCCAGACGGCGAACTCGCCATCGCACGGGCTGCAAAGGAGAAGCACATCGTGCAATGCATCTCCAACAACGCTAGCTATTCTGCAAGTGAAATCGTCTCTCAACCTTCTGTTTCGAGCTATCCATTTTTCTTCCAGTTATACGTCAATCGCGAGCGGCCCAAATCCGAACAACTCCTCCGCAAGATCCACCAGCACCAGAACGTCCGCGCGATATTTGTCACGACTGATGCCGCGGCGGCGGGGAAGAGGGAAGCCGATGAGCGGGTCAAGGCTGATGAAACCATCCAAAATCCAATGATGACCACCAAGGCCAAGAACGACAAGAAAGGTGGCGGCTACGGACGGCTTATGGGCAGCTTCATCGACCCGAACCTGAACTGGGATGATATTGCCTGGTTACGGTCTCAAACCAAACTCCCGCTCTTGCTAAAAGGCATAATGTCCGCAGACGACGTGCGTCTAGCCCTTGACCACGGCCTCGAGGGCGTAGTCCTATCAAACCACGGCGGAAGGAACCTCGATACGTCACCTCCGGCCCTGCTCGTCCTGCTCGAAATCCACGCACGCTACCCGGAAATAATCACGCAGCACCACCCTACCTCCCCGGCCGTCCGGTCCGGCCACTCAAAGCCGTTCAGCATCTTCATCGACGGCGGCATCCGCCGCGGCACGGACATCCTCAAGGTCGTCTGTCTGGGCGCCGTGGCCGCCGGCATCGGACGCCCCGCCCTCTTCGCCACGGGATACGGCCAGGACGGCGTGGAGCAACTGCTCGACATCCTCAAGGACGAGTTCGAGGTCGCCATGCGGAATATCGGCGTGACCAGCCTGCTTGAGTGTGGGCCGCAATACGTCAATACAGGGGCGATCGACGACCTGGTCGTGAAGACACGGGACCATCCGTATGCAGTGTCTTGGGCGCAAGACCCGAGGACCGCGCGGAGGACTAGTCTATTCGGAGCGGGGAGGGAGAGCAAGTTGTAAAAGCAATAGGTTCCTCCATGCAGGGGGATACAGGGCAAAGGGGGCGAGGTAAAAGAAAAATAAGAAAAAATAAAGTGCGTGCCTACTCGAAGACGCGAATGGACTAACTTCATCAGCTAGATCTCCGAGGTTTCAAGGCACTGCACCGTTGGTAGCTTCCCCCCTTGCCTTCCCTTCCCTTCTAGACTCACTAGCTAATAAAGCCCGTTGCATAGATGAGCACCTGTGTACGGTTCGAACATGGTTGCTATCGCCGGCTTGGGCCTGTCATATATCATCCGATCCGGACATAGATATACGGATTAGATAGAGAGATATACCTCACCTGGGCATAGATATAGACACAAACAGAGACAAAGACCTCGCAAACGCAACGACCCTGGAAGCTCTAGCAGCACACGCCGCGGCAGTATATCCTATTGCTTTCCCCGGGGAAAACAAGGAAGAAAGAAGGGAAGAACGAAAAGAAGATTTTGAACTCGGGCAATCAGGCCAGACATCAGACCCGCATGAACAAGTATGAATGCGTGGACGCACGGATTTATATGTATGTACATTTATTGTATACACACCCAAGCCCAATCTACTATAACTGCCTAGATATGCGGGCATTGCATTGACGGGTATGATGGGATAGAATGGACGGATATTTCTCGCAAGGCGGCATCTGTTTTGCATACCTAGTCTCTTCAAACATGATTATAGACCCCATTCACAAAGGCGGACCGTACCGGTCGCAGTTCCTCAAACACCGTCTCAGAACCCGAATCACGGCGGCCTGATCATTCGGCTCGCGCGAGCGCCACAACGGGCGCACCGAGTCCCATACTGCTTCCACTTGCTGGCGAGACCCCGTCGAGTTGGTGTAGGCGCGCAGGAGCCAGCAGATCAAGGGCCGAGTCGCTTCCACTTGGTGCTGGGATGTGGCCGGAATGGGTGGGACGTCGCGACCATCTTCTACATCTGTCTCGGAATGGGAATCTGTCTCGGCATCGGAAAACGGTGCGTCGGTGGTGGCGGATCGAGCAGGACTGCGCGATTTTATGTCTGGCGAATCTGTGTCTGTGGAGGATGGAAACGTCTGCGGCTCTGGGTCGACGTCGGTCGTGTCGGCCGTAGCCTGCTCAGGAGAAGAGGATTCGTGTAGCTTGCTACTTGATGGATCGATTGCTAGGATGGGAGAGGGTAACACATACTCCCCTTCTTCTTGGTCTAACTTTCGCTCTCCCAGTGGGTAGTAGGTCTTCTGGTCATGTGGTGGCGATTCCTTGGTAGAACGGGAGAATGGATTTCGAATCAGAGGTTCTTTCTTCTCTCTTTCCTCATCAAAAAGCTCGGCATGGATTCTTTCGATATGTTTTCTTCGCTCTCTGGGAAACGCGGCGAGGTCAAGAACAAAGTCATCCCATTCGCTCATACGTTTGAAAGCTTTGTGTTCTCCATGTGTGGATTGTTCTCTTTCATCAGAGGTTTCGTTGATGACATCAATCGATGGGAGCTGATGGTGAGAGGACTTCGTCTGTCTTGCATGTTTGCGAGCCATTTGGCCATCTCGGATGTCTTTTCGACAAGCTTCCCAGGCCAAATCCAGTCGGTGCAGATTCCAAGTCGCGTGGGGGTTTCTTGTCGCGCCATGGAGGGCAAAGCCCTTGAATAGCAGCTGATAGTGGATACTCTGTAGTGGGAGACCAAATAATTCGGACATCTCGTTGATTAACACTGTGATGCGGTTGAGGTTTCCGGAAATATTGGCATGATATGAGATCATGGTCCGAAAGGTTGTATGGTCTGGTCTCAATGGCATCAATTCTTGTGCCTCCTTATGATGCTCCGGCAGGATGTGTTTCAGCCTGCTCGCAAAAAGCAATACTCGCCGTAGAGAGTTCGCTGCTAGCTTGCGGTGTATTAGCTCAGGTCCAGGCCCTGGATACTGCCGGTAAGATGCTATTGTGCCGTCGCTTCGTACTTCTCGACGAGTATTGATATGAAGACTCTTCATCCGCTCATATATTTGCTCCGCCGCCGCCGGTTCCTGGGCATTGAACAGCGCCGCCATTACGCAATTCAGTACAAGGGTGTCGACAATTTCTCCCGCATCGACAAAATCGCGGTAAGCTTTTCGAACAGCATCCCCGTCACCTCGTAACCCGTGATAATAGATGACGCTGACCCGACCAAGCCTGTTGAGATGAAGACCACGGTCATGCATCTCTTTCAGGATCATCTGAGCCAGGGGATACTTGTTGGCTCTCACTGCAATGTCAAAGAGGATATTGAAAGTGACATTGTGAGCCTGTACACCAGCTTCTTGTTCCATCTGCCTCCACAGTCGCAGCGCGGCATTCAGTTCCGACTCTGTTACCTTTGAAAAAGACCTGCCAGCCAAGTATATAGCAGACGCCCATTCTGACCGTGCAATTGGTAGATTGGCCTTTTGCATGTCGTCAATGAGGGATAGATATCTGATCATTGATTTTTCGCTCTTTTGCCAAGGCGTTGACATACGTTGCAGGAACAATCTGATGGTTCCCTTGGGAAGAAAAGCAACCCCTGGTTGCGGCAGCCTTTTGTAAGCTCTGAACAGTGCTGAGTTCGAGGAGTGATTGTCGAGGAGAAGATCTACAAAGGCCCTGAAGGCGGAAATTTCGCGCAGCTGCTTTGATTTGAGCATCTTCTCCACCTCCTTAAGAGGCGATTCATAACCTTCATCATCCGCATAAAATTCCGCATAGGCTTGAGGTGGTGCAAAGTCTTCCGAGAGCTTAAATGCGTAGTCTTCCAGGAATTTTGGCGTAGGAGATGAATGAGGCGATTCTGGGTCGAAACGGCTGCTGTGGGTAAAGAAATACAGGTCCACCAAATTCTTATAGTCATCTTTTGACAGCACAACAGCCGGTTGCGGCGAGGCTACTTGTGTCAGCGACGCAGGGTGTTTTGATGTGGGAGGCTTCTTGCGCATTGAACTGTCCAAGCTGGCTTTGGCCTTGGCTAGCTTTTCCTCGAGATCTCTCACAGACTTCAAAAGGGCCATTTGTTCCTCAAGCAGGGGCTGTGATAGCTCGAGTTCATCCCGCTTTTCTTGTTCAGCGTTCTCCTGTCTTACTTTCTCATAAAGGGTGCTCAGATCGTAAAAGAAGGCGGCCGGCAGTCGACTGTTTTCCGCGAAGTCGAGCGTATTGGAATCAAAGAATTCCCACGCATCAGCTCTGTTCTTGCGCCGACTCCGAGGGCTCGTCGACGTCCCCGAGCCATCTAGGTCCCCAAGACGGCTTTGCCTGATAACATGGCTCACACTGCGGTATTGGCCCCTGAATCTGTTCTTTCCTTTCTCTTGCAGGTCTCCATGCTTCCATCGATTGGTGCTCCCGAAAGCGGACGTCGAGAGTGGCGTTTGACGACATCGCCTCGAACACTCTCCAGCATGCGAGAGCCAACTGTAGAAAGCTAATTCCACAGCTCTAACGTTGTCCCCTCGGATGGTATCACTGCCGCGTTGACATATCGAACGCCTGGAGGCAACGGCTGGACGTTGGGGGATGTTAGGGGCGAGGAAGTCGCATATCGAGAAACTGTAACGTGCTATTGGCGTCGCACTCGGAAAGCTGCTGCATCCGAGAATTTTGGAGGATTGATGCATATGACTGGGAACATGTTGTCAACTCTTCATCATCGGCTTGAAATGAGCAGACAGTCTTTTCCAGGTGCTTGTTGAAGGCCTCGGCGAAAAACACTCGCGGTTGAGATTCCCAAAATGGTGGATGTTGGAAACTTCTCCACTAGCGCGCATTTTCGCCGCAGCTTCGAATTTCAATGGAGGCTCAGTTTATCCTACAATCAAAGCTGCCTGTATCGCTAGATACAAAGACAGATCTATAATTCTGCGGGCTTGGGAACCTGGACTACTTTATCAGAAACCGCTGCTCCTTCTGATCCCTCAGAGACGCATACCAGCCAGATCGAACATCTTCCCATCCAGCTGCCCATCATGGGCCGCTTGAACTTCACTGCCATCAATGTCCGTAAGACAGCGCTGGCCAAATTCAAGGCTAAACAGATCCCTTCTGTTCCAAACTGGGTCGATATTGTACACGATGTTCCGCCGGCGCAAATTCTCATCCGTCAACAGCCTATGCGGCATCCTCTAACCAAAGTCCGCACACGAACCCTCCCAGGCGGAAAAACCGAACAATACGTGCAAATCTCGGAACCCAAGAGACCTAAATCAGCGAAAGCTCGCCGTGTCTTTACTCCTAAACCCTTGCAATATGAGGAGGACTCTCTACGAAAAACCTTCTACAGCGATCACCCCTGGGAGCTCGCGCGGCCTCGAGTAATCGTCGAGACATCAGGAGAACAATACAAACACGCGGACTGGTCAAAAGGCCTGATCCAGCCTGGTATCCCGTTGTCGGGCGAATGCGTGGTCCAACGACAACTCTGGCTTCTGGAGAACGTCCCGGACATCACAGTCCCGCAGGCGTACGACATCGCCCGCAAGGAGTTCTACACGCTGCGTCGACGACAAGAGAGAAGGGATAGGATTGCAGCCGAAGAGGCGAGACACATGGGCGCCCGCTTCGGCAAGTCAGCCTTGCAAATTTCCATGGGCATCGAGAATGAAATGTACAATGACTGGGAGAGATGGAGCCGGCAGGTGGTCTTTGAGCAAACGTCAAGAGCAGCGGCCTTTGAAGGGACAGTAGCTAGCGCCGAGGAAGAGGCGTTGAAGGACAATGTGCTGGATCAAGGCACAACGCAACCGCAACAGCCAGGTGGTCGACCCGCGATTGGAGCTGCCGTCTTTGCTCAGCAGGCGCAGTTGGATTCGCGTATATCGAGGCGTCCGGGGTCCTTATAGGAGGTCCCAGTGTATGTCTATCAGAAGGAGCAGCTTTCAACAAAATGTGTTGTACTACTATCTCAGCCAGACTCTCAAAGTATTTTACTCCTGCTTGAACATGGAGATTTGCGACGGCACGTCTCTCTCTACGATGGTTCTTTACTCCCTCCCACATTGCAAAACAGCGTTGAAGCTTGCTTCCTGCCCATTTTACCTGTTCCACCCAATCCAGTGCTCTCAAATGCATCCATGACATGCTCTCAAAATCTCCTATTCATCCCCTACAGTTGCCCGAGGCTCAATCGGTTGATCCAGCATGCCTTTGTCTTCCACCAAGGCCACAATGGGCCTGGAGATAGATTGAGACTGGTTCACGAAACTTCGAGCTGCCCCCCCCCCCCCCTGGGGATCAAGCTGTTGATTCTCGGGCAAAGCCGAGTTTGATCCCATCTTTGCCGTCCTACATAGCACTAGGACATTTCCCGACGAGACACTTCTCGCTGTCTTGAAAACTGTCAATGTATGTTCAATGTTGCTTTCATTCATTTCCTACTCCTGACGCGGCTTGCAAATCCTGCTTCGATTGATAGCGATTGCTAGGTCTCATTGGTCGACGGGCACCTCCGCCTCCGGGCGATCAGCGAGAACACGGAGTTGGTACAGAGTGCTTGGGATTGAGAGCAGCTCTGTTGACAATGCAGCCTTTTGATGCAGCTTTTCGGCGCAGGAGAAACCAGCGACAGCTTGACCCAAAACAGTTAGCGTAAGATGGCTGAAAGAGCAGCAGGGGGACATTGGAAAGAGCGGCCTGAGGCCGCCCAAACCGGAACTTCGTGTCCATATCGTGCCCGTTGCCCTCGTCGACTTCCTGGTCCTTTCCCATCTATCCCGCCATCAGCCCTGCACACTCCGTCGGAACATCTGGTCTAGCTGCAAAGACGTCGTCTTTTTGCGTTCACCATGTCTTTGCCCTTCCCAAATGTCTATCATCTCCGAACAGTAGCTGAAGCTTCGTCCAAACCCTGCTATGTGTGTCACCGGCCCTCCGCCAAGGTGCTGATCACCCCTGACAATAAAGTGAGTGTCATTTTCTTTGCCGGGCACACTAAGCATCCTGATCCTGCGTCATGGCGATTACCATACCAACTGGTCTTGTCAGGACTTCTTCTATGTCTGTGTTTCCCACCTTAGCGACAGAGGATTTGCTTCCCCTGTTGTAGACGCCGAGGCGGAAGCCGCGAAGAAGAAAAAGGAATGGATGGACAAAGAAATCGAGAAGATCAAGCAGGAATACGAAGAGAAGCAACGCAAGAGGAAGGCCAAGAAAAAGGCCAAAGACGACGACAAAGACAAAAGGAAGGAGGAGGAGGACGATGACAAGGCTGAGAAAGAAAGGGATGACAAGGTCGGTTCTTCTCCCGCCTGTCCTCTCACTCACCCTTCCTCGAAGCTAATCCTGTGAATGGCTGCAGATCAAAGCCATACAGGCTGGTGCAAATGCCAACGACAAGCCGGAAGACATTCCTCGTGTATACGCACTGCACAAGTGAGTCCTTCCTCCCTTCTAGTCAGCTGTCTTCCCCTCTGATGTTAATAGAAATTTTTACCAAATGCGAATCGACCGTTGGCGCAACTTAGAAGTTGCAAAGCGCAATCAACAGCGAATGAAAGATCCTAATTTGTTCCCTGCAGTGCCGAAGGGAGACATCTCATGACCCAACATCAAATTAACATCCACACCCGCTCTTCATTGACCTCTAAACCCTCGTTTCGTCTTGGCTCATTCTCTTATTCGGATTCTGAAGATGGGATACCCCCAGTAACTCGAAAGGTGCAGGCTCAGTGGTGGGCAATTGCATTTGAGACTAGGATGATCGCTCAACCCTCATCAACTGTCACTCCAACAGCAACGCCAGTGATGGTGCATTCTGCAGGTTGTCAACCTGCATATCTGGTGCAAAGTCGTCTGCAGCATGCTTCACAAGCTTGAAAGCGGCTATGGATTTAGGGCTAGTAGCCCTTGTCAGCACTAGCGTCGAGGCGTGTGGAAATCATCCATCCGGTGGAGCTGATACTGCCTGTCTCCAGCTCTCATCCATGCTCAGAGGTCAGCGGAGAGTCAGCGACCATAATTATCCTTATTCCCATTAGTGGATGTGGATGGAAACGATGTCAAGAGAAGTCAGGTATTCCAGCCTTTGTCGTGACGACACGTGGTTCAGTACGACATTTCTCGCTCGCAAGGTGCATACAAACACGAGCTCGCATCGTGCAGTTCGTGTTCACAAGAAGCGAGAGAAAAACGACTCAAAAGCGCCAAACTCGAGTTCAATACGACCATCCCGCTCTTGCAGTCGGGCCACCCACCCAGCAGTCGCTTCCACCAGTCTCGCCCGCTTTGGGGGCCGGTCTGCCCACATGCCATATTCGGTCAGCGTCGCGCATTACGAGGTGCATCGCGCATGATCAAGACCACTTTCCCAATTTAAAATGCTTCAGGATCACAGATCCAAAGCGTGCAGCCATTAGAGAGACAAACGCCCTGGTGATCCTAGCCTGACATCCTAACCCTATCCGGAGCCGCCGTTCTCGATGGCAAGCGAGATCCTCTTATACTTGGCCCGCTAGCCCTTCATGGTTGGGGCATATGTTGGAGGTCGGCGTTTGGAGGTTTCGGCCTCCCGCTCTAAGTTCTCACAAGGCTGAACCTCAATTAGGTTTCACAACACACCACGTTGTACCAGCCCTACCCGGCCACTTCAGCTCATACACTTCTGAAGGCGTGCTTAATTCTCTCCCATGCTCTCAATGTCCCGCGCAGGATTTGGAATTCAGATAAGCGAGCCACGGGCACGTGGATGATCACAACAGCCGGAGTGTTTCCGATTGTTGCTCACTCAGAGTTCTGGCGAGCCTTGATTGTCATCCTGTTCCAGGGATGGCGTGGATCGAGACCCGGTCATTCGAACTCAGAAAAATGGTCGAAGCTCTGACTTTCGGAGCGCCCGACGGTTCGAGTCAGCGAGCCGGTTTTGAGCTGCAGCATTGACGAGCTCAACCCCGGTTTTACAGAGCGTGAAACATGCCAAGCCAAGAACGGGCCTAAGACGTCCTAGGCTTGCGGGCTAATCATCCAAAACGACTGCCCGATGTCAGCATCGAAGGATTCTGCATACTTGTTGGATCAATAAAGTATGCAACCACACGCGAGCCAGAGGATCACTGTTGCGGAGGTGATTTCCAAAGCTACCGATGTCTCGAGCAAACGGCTGGCGGCAAAGTGAGCCCTGCCATCTTTTTCAAACTGCTCCATCTACCAATTTAGCGAATGGCCCTGTAAGGCTGAAACCTAGAGACGCACTCATCAACGGGGCTTTCATGAGAAGGCTGACACAGAGACCCCGAGAACGGCGACCACGGTTGGAGTTGCGGCATCCTGTTAAGAGCATTCTCGTTCATGGCTCGTTCGCGGGAAGACGAAATGACTTCGCACAGTTCCTTTCGGACCGCAATGCGGAGGCCACACTTTGCATTGTTGAAACGTTAGGAGTGTGCCACACCAGGCAAGGTGGGTGAACACCTCGGACACCGTCAGAGATCCTGACTTCGACGCATTCACAGACGCATTTGTCATGAATCATGAGCTCTTAGATGCGCGGGTAGAGGTCGGGACACCACCACTTGCCGGTTCGGGTAAAGATGCAGCGGCATTGACTGGGTACATATGTAGGGACAAGATGAGAGTATTAGCTGGCTCCCCTCGAGATGGACCCAGCAGATGTGGGGTGACATCTGTCAAAGACAGTAGGTGTTCGGAAATGCCAAACGAGGAAATTGTACTACACAAAAGAGTGCTTACTCGTGTGGTCCTGACTCCTGACAGACCCGAATTGACCTGGTACAACCAGGCTGCGAGAGTATCTTGCCCGCCTATCTCAAAGAGGCAAAGGGCGGTTCTGCCCTTCCTGCCGAGAACAGTGGCAGCAAGCAATTCAAGTAACCAGCGACTCCCCTCTACTGGAATGAGGAACGAAGACTTGCCTGCAGCTCGGAATGTGCCACGAATGCCTGCCGAGAGCCCTTGTTCTTACAAGAAGGATGAACCGACAAGGATTCCTGAGGGGAAGAAGACTCCCAATCAACCGTTTATCCTACATGGATCCTACAAGAGTAGAACGTCATCATGCTTGAACTAATGCTTCACGGCGTCCTCGGACCTTTGGCAGCGGAAACCGTTTGCCGTTAGCGGTGGCAAGCTTTCAGAAGCCTTGCCAACGTTAGGCGACCTTAACTACTGTCCTGTCATCGGTTCCGACAACAGGACGCATCGTGGAGGGAACATTTTCTTACTGCACATCGAAGATGAATAACAACCTAATTCGAAGGTGTTAGTCATAGTCCCGAACGCAGACTTACTGTTTGGGGTCGCGAGAACGCAAAGCAGGAGATCGACTGACTGCTCAACGCTTTGGGGGTGCAGGGACCGCACCTTTTCCGCATCGCTCAGGGTCGTCGTGGCTACGAAAGGTCAGTCAGAGAGGCACACATGCTGTCTCCCACTGCGGCATGAAGAATAAGAGGCTTGGAGGGATGGAATATTGCTTTTGTTGGCCTGGGCGCCCCTTGAGGTTGATGGGTTATTGAATATAGGTATATTCGATGCCGTCCTGCACGGGAGGTAGTATGACCTGTAAAACTGCCCGGACCAGATCAACCGCTTCGTACGCACGTAATGTGGATGATTCAGCCTCGCCGTCTAAAAGTCCATGACCAATGCACGCATGCTTCCTTTTATGTAGCTTTGCTGATTCTCGCCATAATCCAGCCGCGGAAATCCCAAAGTGTGTCCAAAGTGGTCTTTGATCGGTACGGCACGGCTTTGGTCAAACTCGACTTGTTCGTCACAAGTTGCCATTCCCTGCTTTCCTCATCCCAGGGGGATATCTCACCGCGCCGTTGAAGACCGCTTTCTTACCATCCCCGGCTCCATGTCCAGGCCCAACCAAAGCTGCTGGTCCTTGTCCTTGTCCCGCTCCTCCTCTTCTGGATGAATTTTCCGCACGAACTCGCACCTCGTCCACTTTGCCCTTTGCCAGACCGAACCCCGGCGTCACCCACCCTCCACAACTGCAGCGTAACCCCTGCCACGCAAACTTGCCGATGTTGGCTCCGCACCACTGTGTCGGACATGTGAGTCGGCCGTCCAACTGTCCCTCTGACAGGACCGGCCTCATCCACGATAGGGGGTGGAGAAAGATATGTGCGCACGGGTCCCCGCCAGTGGTTGCTGCTGAGGGGTCGCGGTGCGGAGGAGGCTTGTGAGGTAGGACGAAGTCGGATTTGGCGAGCAGGCGTCTGCATTTGCGGCATTTGATTTCGACGTCGGCGGGGAGAGGAGGCGCTGGGGAAGGTGACGACAGAGTTATGTCTGGGTTCAAGATCTCGGTCGGCTCGTCGTTGTCTGGGTCGAGTAGGGTGAGACTCTGGACCCTTTCGTTGAGAAGGTCGCTCCCGTCGGGTTTTCCCGTTCCTGAAGACGAACTTTGGATGCCGTCTGCGTTGTTGTTGTCGTCATCTTCCTCGTCCCGAAAACTGATATGGTCCATCTCCGGCGCCCGATTTTCGCTCAATGCGTCCAGCACGTTCCGTGAGTTCATCCACCGTCGATAAATCTTGTGGCTTTCTAGTTGCTCCTGTGTTGTCGGGCAGCCCATGGCTTCGAACATGCGGAGTTGCTTGATGAACCCTGAATTGGGTTCAACCTGCGGCCGACATTCGCGGACCAAGGCAAGGGCGGAGTCCAGTGTTAGCGGTGTAAGTGGTAGTGACACCATTTCCGGTGGTGATGTCGTCGACGACGATGGAGGCGGCGCGGAAGCATGCGCTGTGGAGGTCCTCTGAGATTCAGTATTGAAGATGTTTGCTTGTTGGCGAGAGTGCCACAGGAGATAGGCTATGACGATTGTCGCAGAGCGGGAGACGCCCATTGCACTGCCAGATACAGGTTAGCTTCATCGGAGATTCCTTGAGGCATCATAAACCGGGTTCGTAAGAGCAGAGTGGTAAAGGTAAATCTTTGGCGGCGGCGGTGGCGGCAGTGAGGTGATATTCTTCGAGACATGACCAAAGCACTCTTGTTACATTGGTTCTCTCATGTCCATGTGACAAGGGATGATGAATCACCTCTAGAGACCTCCTCACTGGATCCCAACGCAGACACTGTGCTTCGTGTTGTGGTCTCATCATGTTCGGGACACCTTTTCCACGGCCTCAGCCTTGCGGCGAAAAGAAGACCCAATCACGTGATTTGATAGCAGTGATAGAGCCGCACGTGGAAGGCTGTGGTCCCAGCCGATCTTTGTTGAACTGTATTGGATTGTAGCTTCAAAGACAGTGCCCCTTCACATGCCTCGATACTCGATTGGGAGAACATGTCCCGTCTTGACCCAGAGTGGCGGTACCCAAACAGGGACGCTCAGCGTGGCAAACCCAAGAGTCGGCCAAGCCGCCAAATGCAAACCTTGGGATTTTGTGGAGGACGCGTGGTCTCTTCCAGCCTACCCACAATGTAGGCCAGTCGTTCAGAAGTACTGCCGGCTTGGCCGGCTCAGTATTCTGAAAATTTGTCGCTTTACGAGATGTGGACCAGGCGCTCGGGTTCCTGATAATTGTGGTCGCCGAAGGGTGCCCATAGTTGATTTCAACAAGGACAATAGATAAAGCCCACTAAAACGAAAACCAGGCACACGGACACGCGCCCCTGGATCCAATGTCCTATGAGGCAGATTTGCGCAAACAAGAAAAGGGCTGCAGTGGCCAGAAGCCAGAAGGAAAGAAGAAACCACCTACCAGTGCACAAGAACCCCGCCCGGAATCGGGTTGATGGTGCCATCTTTGAGGGAAGCGCCAGAGGTGCCAAACTGATTGGAGCCCGAGTACTTCAACCCTTGATGAATGAAGGCATTGCTCCGCGGAAAATGGGACAGAATGTTGGAATCGTAGACATCGTCTAATGGGATATGCAAGTGTTGGAAACCGCGAAGCGAGGCCCAGTCGTTTGAAAACTTCCAGTCCAAGACCGAAACAACATGAGTGATGTTGGAGCCCTGGAGGATTTTCGGGCGACGCAAGGCTTGGAATCTGAAAAGATCTCGTCAACATGCATCATCAAAACTCCCCCTTCGTTCTCTCTATCGGCCCGACCCCGAAACCCGTCAAAAAGGGTTGGGAGGAGCGGCGGTCCTTACAGTGCGAGTTGTGGATGGAAAGAACATGACACCAAAGAACCTACCCATCAATGTACAGGTTGTACCCTGGGACCTTGCTCGGCAGGGTTGGAAAGTCCATCTTGGCTTTCAGGATACCGCAGCTCAGGTGATTTACGGATTGGGACTCCAGATAAGGAAGAAGAACTGGCCAAGGCCAGCCGCCTCGCGCAAAGGGAAATTGGCGGTGAACGGTGAAGGGTGGACAGAGACCCGAAATGTGGATTTTCGAACGGTCCCTTGTCTTTCTCGGAGAGTGGGCGATGATTACGGGTTGAGGTTTCGCTTTGTCGTGATGGCTATTATCTTTCTTGACGGAGAGAGAGATGAAATTTTCATAGATACAAATGGAGTATTGCGAGGGCGACAAGAGATTGGTTCGTATCTGGCTGTGGTGGCCTTGAAGTGAAGCCTGAAACTTTGAAGGGAAAGCAAAATCGAAAGAGCCTCGGCTGGTGCCAAGACTCGGGCAACCGTCGCCTCTGGTTTCATTTTGCGTTCGCTTTCAGCTCCCCTTCACCTCGCCATGATTTTGGTCTTGGAGAGTATCTAAACGAGTCCAGTGGTATATAGACACCAAAATCCTATTGTCGCTCAGCAGTGCAGACTGTGCGTGTGAGTGGTGACCCGAGCAACTGCCTGCGACGCCACATAACGTCTAGCGGTGCCATCTTCATATGGCTGTGGCGTTTACTCTCCGTGGCTGGTGAGTTGTACGTAAAACGATCGGCAATCGATCAGCATTTAGCCGGCAGGGTGACGAGGGGCTCCAGAAAAAGAGGAGCGCCGAGGTGAGGTCCGAGGTTTAATGTCTCATTGGCACCTTAACGACGGCCCGGGGCGGCGTTCAAAGAGGCTGCGAGGTGGCGAGGGCGGATAGCGACCCTCTGACAGGGTTTGTGTCGACGGCCCAACGACGGCGACAACAAAACCACACAAAGGTCTTTATCATGGCACCTCTGGCTTGCTCAGGATCACATTAAGGCATCGGAGAACAGAACCAAAGTCGATCACAAAACGCTTCATCGCAGGATCTGGTTCCGGGCCGGCACAAGGATCAATATCATGTCCCCAGTTCCAAGCGATTGAAGCTGGCCACCACCTTTCTCGAAAGGAACCGCAAGCGATGTGAATGAAGTTTCTGGAAAACGGGACTAGCAGCCTGTCTGCAACTGTCTGCAACTTGTCGGTCTGGGATTTTGGAAGCTCGGAAGAGATGGTGGGTTCGAGACTGGGGGGTGTTCTGGTACCTGATAGGAATCCCCACACCGCAAAGGGAGATCCTTGTTGGGCGTGCCAGTCACTAGGGCATGCTTTTCCGGCGACATGATCTGAGATACGACGTCAGTTTCGGCCACTCGCAATGTTTCCCCAGTTTCTTCCAGACCCGCTCCTTCATCCACCCTTGGCAGACCAAGAGGATCCAAGAGGCGACTTCTCGAATCTGAATCGGATCTTTGCCCCTGTCTGGCTTCTTGCTCCGAAGCCAGGCGCCGTTTCGAGGCATACCTACCTACCTTAGGTATTCACAGTACGCCTCCTCGTCAATGCGTTGGCACCATCATTGGTCTGGAAACTTCACCCACCAGCCGATTGCCCATTCAGGCCACAGGCTGGAGAAGTTGATCAAACTGACCATCTCCCTAGCCAATCATGTCGTTGCGGTTGGCTAAGCGCCAGCCTTGTCGGCTTCCAAGGCTTCAAGCCCTCAAATTGAAGGCAGCAACCTCCTTGATTCCGCTACCGAATCGAGTTTGTGCACTTTCCCAATTCTTGCAGATGATATGATCCACACTCTCGAAATCATGCTGAAACCTGTACCACCCCTGCCAACCACGAAGGATGTCGCGATCCCTGTCTCCTTTCACCTGTCTGTTTGCAGTATGCCACCTCAGGATTTTCAGAGGGAATAGAGGACTATGGTCCCCGAATAGAGGAGACAAAAGAGAAACATGGCTTATGCATACCTTGATCATTTCGGGAGTCGTGTCTACCGAGCCCACTGGCGCCACTTCACGGGAATGATTGGATGATGTCCCATCGCCCTGATGGACGAAGCTGGCCCAATAGCAATCCGTCGATGTATGCAGTATACAACCCACCTGGAAAAGTGTGTAACAGCGGATAGCGAGAGAAGTCTTGACTAATCACGGAGGAGTGAAAGTGTGGGCGACGGTGGGCTCTGTAAGGCATCACAGTCAGCTTTTCGTAGGGCAGAGGACTCGGGTAGAGAGGGCATAGGGCTAGGAATTGGTACTGATCATCTGGAGGGAAGTCGTTAGGGAGAACCGGGCCTGGAATCGCAGCAATTGATTCCGCCCTCACCTGCATCCCCGACATGGCTGCTAGGCGTTAGTGGACAGCACAGAAACAAACCTGTGGCTCGAGTCAGTAGCCGTGGAGCCATGCAGGCAATCAGTCTCGGCATGCCCCATCTTCCCAAGGGAAGGTCAAATGACACTCCTCTCGAAGTACCCTATACTGGATCAACTCCCGTGTTTGAAACTCTCCGAGAAGGGTGACTGCCAACACACAGCACCGGAGGGACCCTTGGTACGAGAGTGTATGGTTAGCTCCCGCTTGATTTCTGGTTCTAGAGTTTTCCCAGTGCCCTTGTCAGCGTGGCACTTGGTGCCTACATACCTAGGTATGACGTGAAAGCAAAGACGAGCCCTCGTACTCGCTGGTGTTGTGTGTGACAAGGAGCCTTGGAACGAGGGATCCATTGGAGCTAGACCCTCTATGGTGAATGCTCAACATGCGCGAACCCATCCCCCCAAAAACCTTGTTGCAGCAGACGACCAGGCGTAATCGATACGAGCACACACCTAGCAAGCTAGGTAAGTGCACGTTGGAACTCCCTTGTTCCCTTGTTCCCTGCCTCTTGTCTTTTGTTGGAAATGCTTTCCACAGGAGGATTTGTGGAAGGTTACGGGTAGGAAGATCTGTGTGCAGTGTGCAACAACGGGCGTTCTAGGTAGAGATCTTACCCGTTTGTGGAAAGGGAAGGCTGGAAGGACGGACCTCGTGCGGCGTACAGGAAAAGCATCTCGCATCACCCTAACTAAATTATGCAAAACGCAAACAACGCCACCAGGAATGATCCCGCGTTTTCCGGAATGCTAGTCATAAGGCTTCAGCTTGGGACGACCAGAGCGGCGGACGGGTCCAGGTGGGACCAGAAGAGGAGGGACTCGATGGGCGGTTGGCGGCTGGCGGTTGGCGGTGCTTTATTATGGTAAGATGAGAGGATGATGGCTGATGGCTGATGATGGGAGAGGGAGGAGGAGGATGGATACTGGGATGTTGGAACCATGATGCCGTGCTCGCCGAGTCACAGTACTCGTGTCATGGTTCTAGCCCTATCACGCGTCAACGGTCCACCGCAGAACTAATGCCTGCGAATCATTCCCTACGGGCATCAGCTGGCCTCTCACACGGAGCACAACAGCCATGGCCCATGAGATACCCAAGATGCCTCCCTGGTCACCCTGAGCGTGGGCTTCATAGGGCTCAGGCCTACTTTCTCCTCAATTCCTCGTTGGTCCCACCACTAAGCTGCGGGCAGGTTTTGGCGGGGGCAACCCACAGCCCAGCATTGCAGGGGCTACCAGGCATCTCTCTCACGCCTCGCCTTTACTTAGCTCCGTGTACAACTCGGTCTTAGCCTTTTGGTCTCGCTCAGGTCTCAGCAACAAGAACAACTTCTTAACTACGATTCCTGGCTCTTGCCTGGGTGCCTGGTAGGCTCGCCCTATCGGGTGCCCACTTGGACTCTGGAGTCCCCATTATCACCCATATCACTTACGGAGTGCCATATTACCGCCTGGGGGTGCACGAGGTCAGCCCATGTCGCCTTTCTCCCCCCCTTCCCCTTCCTCATGGGCCACCGTTCAACCTAGCAAGGTTGGGTCTCAGCCATCTTGTTTGCTTATTGCCAGGAGGGGCTCAGCATGCCGTGAGTGCGTGGCTCATCATGCGCACAAACGATACTCGAATGCAAGGGATCAGGGCACATAGCACATTGTATGGTACTTACAGGACTCGGTAGTACATGGTAAATGAGGGCAAAAAGTGTGAAAGCTGCTGACTCGATTGAACCTTGCAGCAGCAGCACCGACGACGGATGAGTCCCCACTGCGTGTGTTTGTGCACACAGCCGAGTCAAGACGATATGTACGGAGGACCTAGGTAGGTCCTCGTATGGACGAGGTACCGGTGGAAGGATGACGGAGCCAAGGGAGAGGGAGATGCGGGAGGTTGACCAAGCGCGCCCCCGTCCCCGACCCCGATGTTCCATCGCGTCCCAAGAGACACAAGAAGCACAGAGAGCAAAGAGAAAGATTAAACCTTGCATCTCGGCCAGCCATAGGCTCCTAGGCCCCCTAGGACTAGCCTAGCAGGGTCTGGTCGGGGCTACCAGGGCTTTTAGGCTCCACCATCCTGGCCTCCCTCGGAACGGATGCAGCCTTTTTCTGCGGCCTTTTACGCTAGAAGCCACGCCGATCTGGGCTGCGTGTCGTAGGGCTGAACCAGCCCAGCTCCCGCTCCAATTCCTGGCCAGTTCTCTCTGATCAGATAGCCTGACGAGGGCAAAAAAAGGTTTATGGGCGCCAGCGCGTGTTGTCGGCGCTCGAGACTGGCTCACGCATTAGGCCTTGGTCTCTTAGAGTTTCCCGTTTGCTGGCTGCCCCTCGAACAGCCCTGCTGAGAATGTTTTTCAAGCCGCTCCACTTGGATCCCAGCTGCCCTGCCCTACCTTGCCCTATCCTGCCCTACCCTGGCCCGATTTGTGAAGAAAGAAGCAAAGCGCAATCGCATGGCGGCATGACTGACTTCACACAACGACTGCGGAGCTCGTCCAAGCACTGGAGCGTGCCATTGTCATTCTCATAGCCATCGCCCTACCTGTCTTCGTCAGAGAAGCTATTCTAGTCCTTCCACGCCTTCCACGCCTTCCACAACGGTCCTCCCTCGCCTCGATCCCCCTCCCACCTCGTCCCAATCCTCAGCCTGCGAGACCTCGTACACCCCCTTCGTACACTACACTTGCTACGGCCATTGCTGGGTGTCAAATCCAAA